CAATTGGGTCATTCGTTGTACTTCCGCAGGATAAATAATAATCGTTCAGTTGTAGCACTTTCTCGGTGTGTAGCTGCTATGCCATCAGAAGGAAGAACAAGAGCTAAGATACTTCCAGGTTGCCCAAGACTCAACATGAGCAGTTACAAACCTTCCGGTCAGTAAGTTCGCGTCTTAACCACTGAGCCATCTGGAGCTCTCAAAGAGTAAATGCATGTGAAGTTTATGAGTTTCGTCCAATTTTTGCTTTGTGGAGGGTTATAACAACACCTTTCATGAATTGATCAACGGGTAATAGAATCTATCGTTTAGAAGGAATACTGTTGACCACCGTTTTTTGAGATCGTCTCAGGTCAAACAGGTAAAAGCATACCAAATGCTGAACTAGATGTGACCAGGTCTCATTCACCAACTCAACTCACCTCTCAATATCGGTCCCCACATCCGGATTCCCGCTACTCACACTACGCTGTTGCTGAAAAGGTCCTCGTCTGAAGGATGGGTCTCCAGTTTCCTGTCCAGGTGCGTGGAAAGCGCCATCTACGGATAAGTTCACAGGTCCAGCGGGTAGTACTTCTTCGCTCCTCTGGAACCGAGTTCGCGCTTTCTTGTCTGAAACACGAGAAGAGAGTGTGCTAGTTTGATCCAGGTCAGCTGATGTGGTGACCAAAAGGCCATCGCACTTGAAGCCATCAGGTAAAACTTTCCAAAATTCGTTTGTACATCTACCACGTCGTCGAATGGGAGGAAACAGAACTATCGACATGCTTGTCAACGAGGTAGTTGGAGTAAAGCTCATCAGTTTTGATAAAAGTTTATGCTCTGGCCTTCCGCTTTGTAAAACGACCCCAAATGCGCGCAGCGATGATCGAACTTTATCCCTAGACTGTAAGATTTACTCAATTGGTTTCTGGCTGCTCCTGCAAAAGTTATGTAACAGTTGAGATTTTCCGAAGCATACTACTGGTTATGTCCAGTCACAATCAGTTTTCGGGGAGTTCGGTTAGATATCTCTTTGAAGGGGCCATACATACATCCCTTCAACTATACGTTTATTCCTTGCTGATTAACCCAACCTCTTTACAAAAGGCACGTATACAAGCAGGCATCGCCACTGTTCAATATGGAGTTCGGAGGCAACCTTTCTAACAAGAAGTCCCTCAGCCATAACACACGAAGTAGTGGGCAGGGATTCTGCTCTTGAGGCATCATCGGTAAGGGACGTTTATTATGTTCAACTTCGATTTGCGTTAAGTTAGATGTATCGTAAAGTAAAAGGTCGGATGCATCCAAAGGTGATGTGCCATCAAGGTTTACATTAAAAATCGGAAAAAACATAAAGAAACGGACCACGAACAAGACTCAAAATGAGGCATATTAAAAAACGACATTTTCCGTCCCAGTTCACACTTTTGACTCCAACATTTTCAAACCAGTTCAATAAATATTGCGTTATGCGTTCTTTTGTATACGATCCGGAAGTTACGAATTGCAACACCCTCTTCTGCGTTGAACAACCTAGTTAGTATGAACTTACTCAGCGAATGACGACCAGTTTTAACATACTACTTGCAATCTTCATGAAACGATATACTACTTATAAGGATGCTGAAAACCCTCCGGTAACCTTAGAAGTGGTATATTGTATCAAGAAAATAGACTTTGCTCCCTTGAATGTCGGACCAATCGGAGCGTGAGGCAGCGTCTGTGTTGGAGATTTGATTGAATCTCGCGGTAACAAATAGGTGTGCAAACGAGAGTGCTTATTACCACGTACAGTCAGTCTACTTCGGTTCGCCCTCAAAAACGCTTACGGGATAGAAAAGAGAAAATTATTGACTTTTTAGTTGCAGTAAAGTTTTTGGTGTGACGCTTTGCGAGTAGTATTGCAATGATGAGTTTGTTTGTTTGTTTGTTTAATTGGACCTCGTTTCATGCTAACCCAATCACCCAAGTATCTTATATGGTTTCTTATCGAATACAGAGCATAGGGGTAGCATGGTCAGAGCATAGGGGTGGCGTCGTTAGGACTGGTTAACGGGTACACTGTATGGCATTCGCAGGTGCTACTGTTCATACGAGATACCAAAGGTTGTCTCCCCCATGTTCCGTTTCTTTGATACCACATGCGATCGTCCAGACGAACCGTAATTTTTGCAAGTTCCACTTTCTGTACAGTACAACGATTGATTTCTTTTCACAGTTGTTCAACCTTTGGCGTGACGCCTCGCGAGTAGTATTGGAGTGATGAGTTTGTTTGTCTAGACCTCATTTCAAGCTGACCCAATCACCTAAGTATCTTATATGGTTTCTTATCGAATACAGAGCATAGGGGTGGCGTGGTTAGGACTGGTTAACGGGTACACTGTATGGCATTCGCAGGTGCTACTGTTCATACGAGATACCAAAGGTTGTCTCCCCCATGTTCCGTTTCTTTGATACCACATGCGATCGTCCAGACGAACCGTAATTTTTGCAAGTTCCACTTTCTGTACAGTACAACGATTGGTCTCTTTTCACAGTTGTCCAACGCGTGTGGGCAGTTGTGCATGGTGAAAAAGACAGGATGAACTCGCCAGGTTACATCACTATTTTGTATTTAAATGCTGTTCAAAACCACGCAGCTGCAGCTCACATGTCTTTCGGACTACCAAAACGGCCGATCTAGAAGTCCCACGTCCTTTTTTCCCTATTCAGGAACTTATGTGGTGTGACACCTCACTACTTTTTACAGAGACTACTGGCGACTATCGATTTAGCGTCCTTCCGCAGTTCTAACGTGGGCTGAGTGATTATGGACACTAATCTAAGCCGTTTACATGCATTTCTTAATTCCGAGCGAACTCGACCACTGTTGGAGCTTTCGTCTTGCATGTGAAGCCAAACTATACTTGAACGCCGAAAAGCACCATCCAACTATTTCATTTTTATTGAGGATCGCCAGCAATGCGCATCTCACGAAACTGCAGGCAGTCGCGAACCCGCGACCTCCCGCTAAATAGTCTGAACAATTAATCGATTGAACAGCAGTGTGATTAGCTTGCATTGGAACGACAGAGCGCCACTCATCATTCCTCACGTGATCACAATTGTTCATTGACTGGCTCTTCAAATGACAACTTCTCAGATGGAAGATGAATGAATTTGATTCTTTCACTAAGCTACTGATAAATTTAATACACTACTCATAAGGCTTGTGAAAACTCTTCGACAGCGGAGGGTTTCGCCCTTCCTCTCAGGACTCATCAGCTAACCACAGTCCCCGAGTTTCCGTCAAACTTATGTTCCACTTGAACCCAAGTTTCACAAAATTAACGAAATACGCACATTTGCATACCAAGTTGGTTTTGACGGGAGACTACTCATCTGGAACCCAGCTGAATCTCTCGTTCATGATGTTTATAAAAACATCATATAAATGTATTTCGCTCCCAATAGATTGTTGTTGATATGACAGGCACGACGCCATGATGTGTATTCCGTTTGTCTATATGTGAATTCCTTATGCCACCTGTCTGTAGCTCGTTTGAGAACAGTTAAGCGTTCAAACTGCTGGCTAGGAAATCGTGGATTCTTAAGCCTTTGGAGTCTCATGAAATGCAGATTGACGATGGTTTCCATTAAGGATGAAACAGTTCGATAGAGCTTCCCAGATTTTCAGCACAGATTGGCTCCCCTTACAGGACGCGACCTCCACCAGTAGAACTTTCCAGACCTCCTCACGCTACCAACAATGGTACACCTATGTTGTTTAGTTCGTCTAACAAGAACAAATCAGAATATATTTTAGCAATGTTAGGATTTATAACGCGAGAGTTAACGATGCAGGAAGACGCATGACCCCCTAAAAGATGGATTCAAAATGGATCCAATCGTGTAAATCTCTGTTAAGATTCAACTCCCTCATTGCTCTTATCCATTTGGGGCAAAGTAATATACATATACACATTTACCGTCATTCTTATCATTACTTCTATATTGATCCCAGTTCAATCATGTACATCTCCGTTGAGATTCAACCCCCTCATTACTCTTATCCATTTGGGGCAAAGTAATACACATATACACATTTACCGTTATTCTTATCATTACTTCTATATTGATCCCATTCACCTGGAGGTCAATTATTAACCTACATGATGGTTCAAATTACATCAGCCATTGATCCTCCTTCAGAGGACAGGTCGATGGTCATTTTCACCCGTGTGCGCACCGCTGGTAACTTGTTGATTAGCGGTGGAACGTTTGCAAGCTATCGGTATTCTGGTGCAACAAAGACATTGTCATACCTTACTGTAATGTCTTCAAACACAGCCTCAATACAAATGGATCAGTCGTCATGTCTTTTGAAGGGTTTTCTCGCAGACGGGTCCACAAAAGTGCTTTCAAGTTATTGTCTCGTCAGGGCAAAATACCTTGCCTCCTCAAAATCGTAGACTGCTTGTGTGTGAAACTTGTGCGGGAATGACTTTTTCAAAAGTTGTGGTGGATTTTATTGTACCCTGGCTAATTAGCTCACAACCAGGCAACAAGCATCACACGACTCGATCAGCTTCTAATTCCATCCGCTAATGAAGTTCTGCCAGCAAGTTATCTACTTTTGACAGGTTAAAAAGTTGGATCATCTAGTTTCAAATGAAAACTTCCTTGAAGCTATCATGTTTAGTTTGGGGTGAAGGAACGTTTTCCTGGTTTACTTGCTTTGTCACAGACCTTACGGCAATCAGGAGTTATTTTTCGCATTGTTTTCGGCTACTCGTGAGTAGTCCGGATCTTACGCCATTTTTTCAAGTGCTCAAATCTCCGGAGCTCGGTACCTTTAGCGTACTCCCTGACTGTCACGTGGAAATGTTGTAGTTGTGTCAAATAACCTCATTTCCACACGAATTCGGTTCAGAAAGAAGATGAACCTCTCGTGTGTGACGTTTTGCTGCAGTTGAATAGCCTGCATAAAGGCCACCTTCAACTGGAGACATTTGGGCCTCCTGTCAAACCCAAATTCGTGTGCACGAGAGTATTGTCGAATTATGTCCAATTGGGAATCAATTAAAACATAAGTTTGAGGAAACTCGAGTGTTCGTGGTTTGATTAAGTGCTTTTGTATTACTATGCCATTTCTACCTCAGAAGTGGTCAATAGTAAAGACGTAGTTGGAAGCTTTATACGGTACGACTCGGTTGCTATAGCAACCAAACCGTTAGGATTATCTGAAGGGTTCTGAATATCTTAGGGAAGAAGCTGTCATTAAAGGGGTAGTGTTGGGGGCGATTGACAACGCTGCGGATGAATTCCAAGCTGAGTACTTGGCACACTCATGTCATTGCTTGGGGCTACAACCTGCGTTAATCTTATTTCAGCTTCAGAGTGCGCGCAGCATTCACTCTAATTCTGTTTTTGGATCATACCGGATTCAATGCCAGTTAGCACACCGTGTGTTTCAACTGAATAGTCGGTTGCATACCTGAAGTAGCTAGGTGCTTGTTCCGTGTGACAAACCTAATAAGTATTCTTAGACTCAACGCTCACACCTGAGAATTCCCGTAAAATGGCGAATTGTAATGCGGGGCGAAGGGTGAAGAACCAACTGCGTTGTGTTCCTCCATTGCTTCCGCTCTTGTGGTAGGCGCCATATAAGGGACAGCTGTACATACCTCTGAAAATCGTTCACACGACGAGGGCTCTGCCAAAATTACTGCGGGAACTTCAACAGTTTCCGAGATCTTTGGCTGTCTAACGAGCGGATCACGGGCAAAAATTTAACGTTGCTGAGGCAGTTGCAGTACACTGTTTGATTTGTCTCTTATGTGCAAAAAAGTAACTGGCACCTCCTGTTCTACTTATATTGCGCGTGGCAGAATCCTCAAAAAAAACTTTGCAAGCAAGCCCGTCTTTATATGAGCACTTAGTTTAATATCGTAACTTATGAAAAAGAGCGGTACGACGTAGTTTCAGAACAAAGCCGAAATCAATAGCTATCAGATCGGTGACAAAAAATGTCGACCGAACAGACCAGGATGCTCAGAAGACAGAGGTACCAACATCGAAGGAGAGAAGCGAGAGCCAATCAGACAGCACATAGCACTTGAGAAGACATAACGAAGAGTTTTACAGCAAGCTATGAACAAGAACTACCTTCCGACACGAGACCTTGGATCATCAAGGAAAGGCGTGCAGGAAACGGGTGGCCACAGACTGCATCGCGCCATCGAATCCAAACAGTGAGAGCTATGGTGTGCGTCCGAATAAACGTCTGTCCAATTTTCAATCAACGTTTCATCTTGTCAGCGAAACCAATCTATGCTCAAAGGCTGAGAATCCGCACAACTGTTTCCTTCTTACTGGGACTCATCAGCAGCGTGCGTCTCACGAGGTTCAGAAGAGTCACCAACCCGTGAAATCCCAACCAGTAGTTTGAACAGATAACCGTTAGTTTACGGTGGATGATCAGCAGGGTGACTGACTCACACTTAGACAGCACATAGCCCACTCATCCTTCAATCACAGAGTCAACATCATGTGGTCACTTGTTAACTGGTTCATCCCCTCTTTAACTACTAGCCTGTAGGTACCGGGTTCCAGACCCCCGAGAGTTTGGTGCAATGTGCACTGCTGATGGTTCCCAATAAGTATGAAACAACTGTAGAAGACCTCTCGGCTTTTGGGCACAGATTGATTTCACTTACAGGACAAAATTTCCATCGAAAATTCCTTCAACAACCAACAAGCTAGAGCTTTTTTCACACACACAGCACGTGTGCACAGGTGGTGAACGCAACGCAATTGCGCAATTGCCTAGAGTATGAGACTAATCAAAAATGGGATGGTTGTAATTTACTTACCCAAATTGGAGGTACTACTACTTTTATGTGATCGACCAAGAACCACGGAAAATTTGTTCCCAATACTGGGGCGATTTTTCCGTCCATCACCACGTTCCATAGACGGGCCAGTTTCATGAGAACCTGACGTTGGCCTGGGATATTGACCTACCGTGCTGCTCAGAGATGATGTGACCAGACCCGATCCGCATTCCGAGCTACTGCTCTCCTTCGCGATGGGCTGCTCATCCATGGAGGTAATTCCCTTGTGAGCCCTCGAGAGCAAGTCTTCAGTGCTAGTTCGTGTTCGCGTCTGTGAGTACAGGTTCGTCCTGGGGCTGGCCGACTGCCGATGCTGCGTCATGTGTCTTGATGTTTGGCCTGGTTGACTCGATCCATACTGGTCCCGTGTTCGGTAAGGGGATAGCGGTTCCGACGGATGGTGTTGGCGTTCAGAATGGCTTGTGTGTAGGCTCATTCGGGACAGTTCGGAAACATCAGAGAACTCGGAGGCGTCGGAATGAACCACGCGTTCGTCATGCGGATACCCCCCTGCGTCGCTACAAGTTAGCACGAAGGGAAGAGGTGGGGAGGTTGGTGTCCCGTTTTATTTTAATCAGGATTTAAGGTTGCTTTCTCAGTTGGTTTTGAACCAGCTGGAGAAAACAGGATGCTCAACACAAAGTGGAGACTTTCGGGAACAGATACCTCCAAGAAAAGTACGTTTGGGAAGTAATAACGTGTGTGTGATGCATTTCTTGAAAAATGCCTCAGAACCAGTTAGTTACTCATGGACGGTGGTTATTGGCACCACGAACTTGGACATTATACTACTCATAAGGTTGATGAATTGTTTTGAACAGCTCACTACCGGTTTCACCCTTCTTGGATCCTATCAGATAGGCGTGGTACTCAAGATGTCATTGATCTTATGTCTTACTTTACTACCGAACCGAATGTAACTGGAGTCACACACCGTTCTTCAAATTAATTTGGTCTTGATGGTGTACCAGCCGGAACCTTTCAGTCGGCCTTGGGTCAAGAAAAAGTACTTCGGTGTCTTTCATATCGTTCTAGGCGACATTTGTAGAGCATATTCAGTGACAGATCATTATAAACAAGAGATTCACTTGAATCTCCCCTCAGCAGGATTGCGATTGTCCAAAAGTATCCACTTTCAAGGAATAGAGTCAACTCGCTGGTGGCTTCGAACAGCGATCCTTGGCCTCAAAAGTACATTATTCTGGCCGGTACCTGAGCATGTTACCAGACAAAACAAGTCCGAACCCCTGTGGTTTCTTTCTACCCCCGTCATACCCCAACCATTTCAATCTTCAGTGCCTTTTCTGGTCGAACAGTATTTCATAAACATCAGTTCTGCTCAAATGAGCTGAAAGATACAAATTACGCCTTCTGGTGGAATGACAAGTTTCCTAAGATTTAGGGATCAAAGCACATGAAGTGAGTTAGCAATCACACAACTAAGCGGCCATCGATTGATTCGTCCACGCTCTACAATACGCCTTGCGGCTCGTTGCGATGCCCACTCGCGCCATGACTGTTCATTGGAGGCGATCGATGACGAGTTTGGATATACTGGATCGCCACAACCTGAGAGAAATCGTCTATGGTGCTTGGTAGGAAAACGTGGGCCCTAATTTCGACATCGCCGAAGTTTTCAGGTGTCTTCTTCAGGGTCTTGGCGGTAAATTTTTCAGAACCGGCAGGAAGTTGCCCGTTTGAGCAGACCAGTATTCGGGAAAATTCGATTGGATGGACCACCATGCTTCCACCTGTATAACTTAGAGTCTTGACAGTGTGCAGAAAGATGCTTAATACGTACGCCGTCTTTATGACCATTTTTTCTTGCGATCATTCACCTGATTCGTTAGACGTAGCTCGTTAGTTGCATCTTGAGAAGTGTTTAACCGCTTTAGCTGTGGTGTCGAAAGTTGGCATCCAGTGACCTGCGGATTTCATAGGGAAATGGACAGATCAATGCGCTGTCTGTCACGTGACACCCAGATGTGGTGAGAAGCTTGTACGGCAACCACTGTGTATATCCAGTAATATAAGACAAGTAATGCGCAGATGCAGAAGACAGACTCGATTCCCACCAGGCGTGTCGTTTTCCTGACGTACACCGACAATCATAAGCAAGACCGGTTCTACGATCGACCAATGAGAGGGTACTTATTAGAAGGGACTGGAACTCCTGCCTTACCGAGATGAATACCGACGACCACGTGACCTTGACGAACCACGTTGTGCGGACAACGAGGCAGGGTGTCCATATTGACGCTCGTCCAAGTCAGAGTAATCATCTGGCTTTGAGTCTAGCATTGAGATATCTGGCGGCCCACGTAAGGGACTGCGAATAGCGTCCATATCCGCAGGATACCTATCTTTGCGAAGTCGCTGAATGGAATCCGCATCGCGAGCATCAAGACGTGCTGGAAGGAAAAAGGCAAGCAGATTAGCGCACGAGAATAACGGTAGTCACACGAAACAACAGTATCCACCTCATCAGACTTACAAGGTGAAATTTGGGAATATTGGTCCCCACCAGTTCCGACAACCTAAAATGAAAATTGAAAATAATTTTGTCGCATTTCACAGAAAAATACAACTTTAACGGAAGTATAAAAGTTACTTGGAGCGACTAATCATTGCTTCTCCGGTTACGTACATCCATGTCTTTCAATTCGTTTTACTTCCAAAAGCCCACACCCACAACACAGGTAAGTTGATGTTATGTTTTACCGGCGAGGAGGATGTGGTCGACACTTTCATGAATGGTGATCAAAGTTCGAGTTTGAACAAATATGGATTATTCGTTCCATTGATATCAAAATTAAAAATATTAACCGTAAATGTATGCTCCAGAACTCACTGATAATATGAGGATGACAGCCTCATCAAGCTTTAAACTCCCGACCGAAATTGTCTGTCGTGATTTGATGATTTGAATGTTATGTATAAAGCAACCTATTTTGAACCCATTGACCAAATTAAGTGCAATTAACTTAAATATGAATAAATCGACGAGAAAAAGACATTTAAAGTCAGTTGGTTGCCCAATTCCGGGGCTTTAGGAACTTCAGGAAGCCGACGAACTCGAATGACCTCTCCAAAAGATCTTATGCATGACGAATTTTTCACAACGTGGACTGTCCTGGTGGCCGATTGGTAACTCGAAGTCAGTTGTGCAATGGTAACTGAACTGGAGCTGCTCACAGATACCCTGGGATGAGACGCATATCCCAGAAATTCCAGAAAACAATACGAACAACAATACCAAGACCGCCAAAATGCAACGATGTACCTAAAAAGACCATTCACAGAACTATCTATAAAGGAGATTAGTCAGCTAGTCGAACAACCCGACATAACACACTACTCACAAGGTTGATGAAAACTCTTCGACAGCACAAGACCGCTTTCACTCTTGTTCAGGTACACATGGTCCGCGAGCTTCCCACAACCTTGTGTTTTACTTAAAACCAAATTGCACGAAATTAGCGACGTGCACTTGTCTGCACACCAGTTTGATTTCCACAGAAGACACAGCTGAACCTCTCATCTAAGGTGCTTTCCTTCAACTAAATGTGCTGCACAAAGTCCGTCTCATGTTCCAGTTGACAGGATACACCAGTATTGCAATACGTGGTATATAAATGACGCAACAGTCAGCTAGGTCTCCCATGAAAACCAAATTGGTATGCAAGTGAGTGCGTTGCGATAGTTCCTGAGCTGAATGGAACATACAAGTCGCGGAGATTGGACCCTAAACTCTAACGAAACCTGGCTCAGAAGCCCGTCCCCTGTTCAACCGATTGAGCGAGAACGAAAGTCTCATCAGTAAGTATACCGGGTGTACGGTTCTGTTGCCGCTTTTACACCACCAATCTGTAGGACAAGTGAATGTTGTTCGTACACAACATTAGCAACTATTTGGAATGATATTCCGAAAATCTGTCTCGTTGGCACATCCAGACACCATGTCCGTGGTTCTTCCATGTGATACATTCGTGAAAAACGGACAGATATGGGTTGAAATCAAGTATTTTCCCTTGGAATGTACTACTCATAAAGTTGCTGAAAATTCGTCGCTTGGATCTAGCACAAACGAAAGATTCAGCTGGGTTGCAGGTAATCCTCTCCCGAAAAACCTAATTAGTTTGCAAATGAGTGTATATTCGCCAAATATTTTCCAGTTTTACTGAGGTCGCGTATTTTTTCACCAGTTAGGATAAGTTATGCTAATCATCAACCTGGTTTTTATGTAGTGCTTGAAAAGATTTGTCCAACTGGAACTTGGTTCTTATGGGTCTTCGGAATGGATGGGGAAGTGCCTGTCGTTCAGTTCGGTGGTTTTCAGCCGCCTAACCCGGAATATCCGCTCAAATAATTGTATGCTACTCACTGCGTTTGAGTAGCTAAATTAGTGCAACGAGCCAGCTGGGCTTTTGGAGCATCACAACACAGGTCAATTCCCAGAAAGTCTTACCATAAGACATATGATTCGTTGGCACTTCAGTCCCAAATCCTGTCGTGTTATCAGACGTGTTGTGGAACCAAGGGGTAAAAGGTTATCGGTTCGGAAGGCTCTTCAGGTAACCAGAGACGGAGGACGTCTGAGGCTACTGTGTAGCATAAGCAAAAGAAACTCTTAAGTAGCGGAGTACACTCATTTGCAAACTAATTTGGTTTTGCGAGAAACTCACCTGGAACCCAGCTGAATCTCTCGGCTTTGATGTCCCCAGGATGAATTTCCGAGGAGTGTTCGGCAACCCTATGAGTAGTGCATTACAAACTCACAAGTAACTCACACATGCGATGTTCACAGGTGACAACACATGATAAATATCCTGTCATAACGGCCACTTTACGGTTGAATTTTGCTAGTTTTTCTCAAGGTCAAAACCTATTTAACTAAATTAGTTAACTAAAATATTAGCGAAATACACTCATTTTCACGTAGAACCTAAGGTTGACGGAAACTCGAGAACAGCGCCTGCCTAATGAGCCCCAAGAAGGATGAAACCGGTCGTGGGATATCGACGAGCTTTCAGCAACCTTATGAGTAACGCACAACTAGAATATTGTTCTACGTATCCACAAGTCTCGAAGAAACTTAGAACCGTCATCAGCAAGAAACTGAATTTTAAGACTCTTGGCGAGAAGAGGATCCGACAGGCTGTGTGACGTACCAATGACTGTGATGAATGAATACAGCATTTGATTATAGACTAAAATCAACCTTGACACTCGTTGACACTTTGGGATACATACATGGATTTGGCTAGAAAAAGATAGGCCTAACTGGATGCGCGCGATTTGTTAGACGACATCCTTTCAACAAATACACTCTGTAAGAAGCGCGCAATCTGTTGAAGAGCATCTTCGTAGGACCGTGTTTTTCAACATATATGGTTACAAAATTAGATGAATAGCTTACTGGTGTTGTCGCCTCTGAAGATCCTTCAACCAAGGAGCCGTATTGCAGTGGATACCAATAGGCGGCGCCGGAGAGGTCGGCAACGCTGAGGTCAATGATAACCTACAACGGAAATGGCAGATCAACAAATATGCTTCCCCAGTGGAACAAACTTGTACGTTATCCTTCATGACAATCAATTAACTCGCAACTGCCCCTATTGCGCAGTTTTGTTTCCATTAACGGGAGAATCCACCCCTTATTTTACGAATCTTCGAGGCACACTGTTGATTGTCCATAGCCCAGAGCGTTACGAAGCATGCTTGAATAACGATAGGCCCGAGAGCGGGTAAGATTGGACAAATCGGTAGTAATTTGTTGGCAAATAAGGCTAATGAAATGAACGAATCAATCGGAAGGGTACCGAGCGGGTGATTAGAAAATGTGATTGAGATTTCTCCGGGCAAACAGGGTAAGGTTACGTTGTCCGTACGCTGTTACACAATGAATTGATGACTAACAGAGCTGATTCGGTAGTTTTTCACGTGACTAGCTGGAGAACTCTGTCGTTTGAAACCTGACGGATGTGTAATTTCAAAACTGACCCTGGTTGAGAGGTGTTCTTGCTTCGAACACTAGAATCTTCCCGAGTAACACGCTACTGTCTTAGTAAATGAGTAGCAGAATACATCCAAAGGAGATGTATCGATTTTATACTGACGTAATTTCCCAAACGTTCTTGCCTAACTATGCGAGTTAATTGGAAATTTTTGTGACCTATCTATAAAACACAGGAACTGCTTGAAATCAGACAGGTTCTCCGTTGTTCCCATGCGTTAGCAATAACAGTTTTGTTGAAACCACTGGTAAAGAAGCCTTTGTTGATATTAGTACGAATCAAAGGCCCTCCGAGTCAGACAAGTATAAAGTCGTTAGTCTATAGTGTTACATCAAAAACAGTGAATTTAGTATGGACTGGTTAAAAACAGCGCGATACCACGGGTTCAGTTCGTGAAATCCTAGGCTAGGCCACGTGACTGGTTCTAGCTGATTCGTCGATTGAAATCAATAGTACCCAACGATCCTGTGTAAAACTCGGCTGTTAAAGGCCAGTAGCTAGATGAACTCACCTCTCCAACCAACGTCTGTTCGTTTGTGTTCACTTCACAATTCCACAAGGTCAATTCCAAATCGTGTTGTGCCAGTTCCTGTTCCGGGTAATCGACAAACTTGAAAATCTGGTTCCACCGGGGATTGTTGGTGTGCGCAATCATTTTGGAATATTTCATCTCCCTGAAAATGACCGGAGAAATAATGGTAAGGGTAATGGGAACATTTTTTCTACCAGTAACTAGATCAATGATGATTTTACTGCGCTTTCCAGTGGGTACTCGAAGGAACTTGTAGACACAATATACAGAGCCCGACATAACTCAGTGGCTAAGGCTCAAAATTACTGACCCGGAGGTCTGTCGTTCGCGACACCTCGACTACTCCTGTCTGGGTTTGGGCGCTCCGGCAGTATTTCAGCCTTTGTGCTTCCAGGCATGGCACCCGGGTACTGAAGAGGTCTCACGGCTGAAAAAGTGTTTGCTTAGTACTATGTAGACGTAAGCTCTTAGATATTCTATCGTCCTTCAAAAGAGTTTTTACCGGTAGTATGGACAGTAAGTCCACAAATATTTTTCATTGTGTGTGGGTTTATCAGTTCCTTATGGCTC